CAATTAATTCCATAACTGGCTGGGAATTTTTGAAGGCTTTGTTTTTTGGGTTTTTGTTTGTTTGTTTGTTTTTAAAAGCAATTACCCCCACACTAGGCAGAGTGTGTAAGGTAGAAAGATTCATCTGCTCACATATGAGGATGGACAGATGTGTGCAGAGCCTAGAGGTGGAGACACCCATTAAGAGGCCATTTCCATAACTCAGGTGAGAAATTAGGACACCTGAACTAGGGCAGTACCAAGGGGATTTAGATAAGAAACCAGATCTGAGACATTGTGAGGTAGAAACAACAGGGTAAGTTGTACATGGGTGATGAGGAAGAGGAAGTCCAGCCCCAGGGCCCCAAGTCTGGATGCCCAGCTGGGATGAAAGGGGTTCTTCCCCTCCATTTGTTGATCTGAAGGCACTGCACCACAACCGCCTAAGCCCACTTACATGACTGCCAGCAAGTAGGGCCACGGTGGAGCCACGTCCAGGGGTTGGTGATGCTGATGTGGTGCTTCCAACCATCCAAACACCAAAGCATGCCGACACGCATGGCTTACTAAGGGGAAAGCATGAGGACAATATTCAGAAGACCCACATCGGAATGGTGGTCCTCCCATGAATCTGATATATGATCTGTAGAGAGTGACTCTCAGTCCTGAGCTTTTGAACCCTTGTGGATTCTGCGGGGTCCACAAAGTACTTTGGAAACTAAAAAACCCTGTACAAAGGGGGATTACTAATGTTCTTGTTACTGGCCTCATCAATCTCTTCCATCGTCATCTTTGTATGTACCCAGGTATTAGCACCTGACCTGAGGCATCTCTCTACATCCATCCCTCTCCCCACCCTAACCATCTTTTCTTTTTTGTTTCTCTGATCCTGGAATTGAGAGCTAATTAGTACAAGGATTACCATAAAGAAAGCTTTCTCCAAAATACTACCATTTCCTTGAAGTATACCCAATATGTACATCCATCTCTTCTCTACAGTGAAGCAAAGTTCCACATTTTGATACTATTTGAATGTGTGAAATATTACTGTAACAACATTCTCAAATATTTCCTGAATCTTAACAAATTACAGGTCTTGGGACCCTTTAAGACTGACCCCAAAAGTCCACTGCCTTCACTCTCTTCTCTATACCATTAAGTATTCCCCAGATTCAAAAGCTAAATGAAGAGCAGTGATTTTTTCTAACTCTGGATTTAAAAAAACCCAAAAAACAAACAAACAAAAAAACAACTTTGTGTTGGATTTATTGAAAAGTAGTTTGCTGATCTCCACACTCTCACCATCATGAGGGGGTTTTCAAGAAGATGTTAACAGTAGATGATTTTAGAATTTAACCAAACACCCCCACACTAGGTGCCCCCCCCCCCCCCAGTTTCCCTGGGATGCATAGCCCCTGTGCCTTTCACACACTGTGGGACAAACGCCATTTGTCTTCAGTAAAGCGGAGGCTGACAGAGATTAGGTTTATGACAAGGAAGTGGGTATTAAAGCTGACCTGCCCTTGGGTCACTGTGCACCCAAGAGCGATGACTGGCCTCCAGGTCCTGGCTCTGGCACTTTCAGACGGACTCACCTTATCTGAACATTAGAGAAAAGGCACATCCTGCCTCACGGGCGTGCACAGGACAAGAGTTGTGTGAACTGTACAGCAGCTAGTAGATAGGGGCTTCTAGAAAAGAGCCTAAAGAAAAGATTCCACTGCGTCTTTAAGAGGATTTCCAGTGGGAAAGAAATATTTCTCTCTTATAAAGACTTGCTTATAACAATATTTTTCAAGTAACTCAGCTCAGATGGTCCAGGAAACACATTATGGTCTACTGTAGCATGCAAATTCACTGCTCAGCACATTATGGGAACATAAATATAATCATGATCCCCCGCACTTTGCAGGTTCTCATGCTGCCTCCCTCCTTTCTTCATTCTTTTCTTCCTTGTCTTTCCTCTCCTTTTCTTTCCCCTTCTATTCTTTCCCCGCTTCTTTTATATTGTAGAGAGATTAAAGCAGCTCATCTCAAATATAGGAGATATTTCTTTCTTTCACTTAAAAACAACCACCACCACTTTCTCTTTAATGGGTCCAACGTCAAATTCCTCTGAACTTCTCAATTGTAACAAAAGATAATTGTTTTAAGGTATGAAGGTACGTCTTCCACCAGTGGCTAAAACAACTGGAAATAAATGAAAGCCAGTGAAAAACCCGAATAGTCCTCACTTGGCAATTACTCAGCCCTTGGAAATTTCCAAGCGCTCTGCAATCGTTAATTAATGAGTGAAGATGATGCTCCGCTTTCCTGAGTCTGGAAGCATGACATAAAGGGGTCTAGAGGCCTCTCCCCAAGCTGAAAGAGGAATGTCAAGGGAGGAACTGGGATTGGAATTAGGAGCTCCTTTCTCAAGCCAGCAGTCACATCACTAGGCCAAGCAGAGTCGATATTGGGACACTCAGGGCCTCTGTGCCCAGGTGCAGTTGAATACAGCAGGATTCTGCTCAAAGCCCAACTGTGGAAAGCCCACCCCTCCAGCTACCAGTGTCCCCACAACACACGCAGGAAGTATCTGTAGCTTCATCGGCCTCTTTCCCCTTTCCCCAAACACAGACAGATGGCTAAATGTCAACCTCTAACCGCTCTCCTTTGTAATGGCAGCAAAAATACATGGTTTAATTTTCACGTTTAAAAGGCACAACATGATGTTAAAATGCATGACATGGTTATAAATAAGTATTTCAAAAAAATGTTTAAATGACATGAAATCCACTGATACCCAGAATCCGTAATAATGTAGTAAATCATCCTGAAACATTACCTTATGCCTCTAAGAAGGAAAATGAAGTTTTGTGCTTTCTGGTGAGGGGTTAGTCAGAGTTGATTCCAGCACCCTGATTGGATGGCTGAGGGCAGATCAAATGTTAGTCATGTGGCTGGACCTGACATCTTAGGCCCAGCTCTTGCAATGGGTGCTGATTGTTTCCCCCTACAATACTGGGTTGGTTCAAAATGTTGAAGAGGGACTATCTGTGGTGGTCCATGACGTGATGGGTAAACAGGAAACTCGAAGACTGGCTCAGGCCTTCTCACCAGATGATTCCCTCCACCTAGACATACTTTTGCTCTGGCTTGTCTGTTTCTCTAGGTGGGGTGTTGGCATCCTTAAACATAACTCAGGGCCCATCTCTTTCCCGCAGGAACATCAGTCAAGCTGCTCTAGACAGGGCAAAACTGCATGCCTATATGAGCTTAAATGCGGATGGCAATTTTCCCAACCTAAACTTTTAATCTTCCATAGGAGAATTTGTTTCAGTTATGCCAAAGTGATGTAAAGTTGAATAACCCCCTTTTTTCCTGACCTGGTTGTTTTCGGGTCCTCCTAGAAGAACTCTTCCTTGAAAACTGTAATGTTAATGAAGGGCAAGCCTATCCTATCCAGCTTGGCTATTCTGGATAAACTTCATTTAAAAACAAAACAAAACCAAAAAACCCTTAAAAATTTTCTTTGCATGGAGAGATTTTGAAAAGAAAGGCCTTCCAAGAGTAATGTTTCAAAAACACATAACATTTTAACTGGGAATCTTTATGTTGGAGAATGACCATGGCTGGTCCACTTTCATGTAATGAGCATTCATAAGGTTAACAGGTGCCTTCAGCTACTCACAGGCCCCACTGGGAAGGGTTCTTTTCCTCTAAAGAACCTAAACTTCTTTTGGAACACAATTAATAGAGCAGATGCTTCCACGTGAGAATCGTGATTTAGTAAACACCTTACCTGGAGAGCAAAGACCTGACAAATTTTTGTTATAATGTTGAAAATGTGAATAGCTATATCTGGAAATTGACAATCTTAAATGGGTAAAGGATTACACACACACACACACACACACTTCCATAATCCATCTCAACAATTACCATTTAACTTTCAGCTAATGAAGGGCTCTCCAGTTTCTGATTTCTCACAGCTCTAACTAAAAGGGAGGGCTCAGTTCCAACCCATTAACTGGAAACTAGCTTTGTTTCTCCATCACATCCCTTCCAAGTAATTCTCCTTGGTTCCTCTTGTCAGGGCGGGAGGAAACATCATCATGTTGGTTCTAGTACTTATGGAAAATCCAAGTTGTAGGTGAGTAGGTATGTGTAGTATTATATCTTAACTATTCACAGGAAGTAACTGAACGCGTTGACTTAAAAGACATGCATACTTGCAATTAAATCAAACCACTGTCATAAAGAACTTTTAAAAATTTCCTAATATAGTTAAAGCCTGGAGAGGAAGATTCTTCCTGGAGGATCAGTGATGGGAATAAACAAGAGGTAATAAACGAGTGCCATTATACTTCAGCCCCTTCCCAAAGGAAACTAGACGAGGTGTCTGCATTATCTTGAATCCCCTTGACCTCACCCACCTCCTAGGCCCTGGGCCACTTGTTCTGTCCCAGCAGTCCTACCTCACTCTGCCCAAGGCAGAACCCAAAGCACCACCTTGGCTTGGGTTCTGACTGACTTTACATGAGACCAACTTGACAGCACTGCATCTCCTGTGCCCTAAACACCTCTTCCCTACAATCCTGGGAACATCCTGTCCCCACTAACGTAGGAGATACTGCAGATCTATTCAGAGCCCAGGTAAATGTAACGTCTAAGTGGGAGGACGTTTTTGAACCACAGAGGGAAGCTTTGATAAACAGGAGACAAGAGCTGGAAGATAAACTATTTTCCCTTCCTCTCCCTGAACAGACTGTCCTGATGTATTCATATAGAGTCTTTTGGAACATGATCCTCAAGATTGAACCAACTGGTTGTACTTGATGCTAAATGGTAGCCATACTGATAACAGACCCGGCATAGGATCTTCCCCCTTTCCTGCTTCACTCATACTTCCTTGGCACTCTATTTCCTAATGACATCAAAGGAGCACATGCACTTTTGCCTTAGGCTCTGCTTTCTGGGGAAAGCAGGCCAAGATACAATCTCCTTCAGTGCCATCACTATGTGAGTGAGTTCCCTACCTTTTGTTGCAGTGGTGGTGCGCACGGTGCTGAAACAGGATCTGTGATATAGGTCTTCTTGGGACCAGCAACTGGATACATCCCAGCCGGGTTCTGGTTTCCTGTTCCAGAAGGAGTATACCCTTGTTCCCGCTTCCAGGCATTTGGGTGACCTTGCTGACCATAAGCCGGATCAGAGTCATTTTTGCCCCCATAGCCAGGCCCCGTGGGGCAATAGGCTTCATAGTAACGTCCTTGGTTGGGGGTGTACCCATACCCAGACTCAGGCTGAAGTCCTGGCGGTGGAATATATGCATAATCCATGCCCCCCCGTGTTGAAGGAGGTGGGCACTGCCCAGAGATAGAAACTGGTGGAGCGTTATAGCCCTGGGGTCCTGGGCCCGGGCCATAAAATTGTCCCGATGAAGGAGAAGCCATGTAAAGAGAGCTGGGCTGGGCTGACTTGACTTGCACATTGAAGGTAGGCCTGGAAGGCGTGGACGCTGTTGTATAGGAGGCGGGGACCGGTGGAGGCTGGGGTTTTAGTGTTCCGATTGGCGCCACGGGGATGGGTCCAGCCTGGGGTGCAGGCTGTGGTTTCAATGTAGACTTTTTGGTTGCTGTTAGAGGGGGTTGGTTTGGTATAACCATTCTTTTGTGTCCTGTGACAGGGGTGGAGGCTGGAGGAGAGGCTGTCGAACTAGCAGACCCCTGAAGCGGGAAAGAGAAAAAAATAAAAGGGCAAAGATTACCATCAATGAAAAATAATAACACAGAAATGAACACATAGTAGGCACTATTATTATCTCATATTAACTCTGTAAAATACAAATAAGGCATGGTTCCTGCCTTCTGAGAATTCACAGACGAACACAAAAATCATGTGCATTTTTGAGTACCAGCAATGAACAATCTGAAAAAAAAAATTAAAAGAAATGATTCTGTTTACAATTACATCAAAATGAAAAAAAAAAAAACAACTTTAGAATAAAGCTAATCAAAACGGGCAAAAGACTTACACCAAAAAGTAAAAATGCTGCTTCAATAAATTGAAGACATAAAGAAATATAAAGACATCCTGTGTTCATGGATTGGAAGACTTAATATCCTAGAGATGTTAATATTACCCAGAGTATTCTACAGATTTAATGCAATCCCTATCAAAGTTCCAATGGAAATTTTATAAAAATAGAAAAAAATCAGTTTAAAATTCATGGAATCTCAAGAGACTCCGAATAGCCAAAACATTCTCAAAAAGGAAGAACAAAATGTAGATCTCTCACTGTCTAATTTCAAAACTTATTACAAAGCCACCATAATCCAAACAGTATGATAGTGGCATCAAGATAGACGCACAGACCAACAGAATAGGACAGAGAGTCCAGAAATAAACTCTTGCATGCACAATTAATTTCTGATGAGGGTGCCAACGTCATTTGTTTGGGAAAGGATAATCTTTTCAACAAGTAGTCTGGAAAACTGGAGATGTACATGGAAAAGAATGAAGTTGGACCCTTACTTTACACTATATACAAAAAGTAACCCAAATTTTTAGCTCTAAATGTAAAAACTAAAACTATATATATATATATATATATATATATACACACACACACACATATATATAAGCTAAAACTTCTGAGAATTCACAAACTAACACAAAAATCATATATATATATATGTTTATATATATATATAAACACGGGGCAAAAAAAACAAAACTTCATGACACTGGCTTTGGCATTTTTTTTTTTTTAATTTAACACTGAAAGCACTAGCAATAAGAACAAAAATAAACAGAACAATGCGATCTCAATCAAATTACCCAAGACTTAGTCACCATTCAGGATAAAAGGAGGTAGCAGAGAAAGAGAACAGAGGGCCAAGGAAACAGAAAAAAGTAAAAGCAAAGAGGGGTGTTGAGAGAAACAAACACCCTCAGCACAATCAAAAAGATGCTAAATTTTAGACCAAAAATTCCTGTCAAAGAGTGATTTACCAAAGAGAACTCAAACGCAGACTCCTCCTCCTTTTCTATCTGCCCAATTTCTATTGCATTCATTCATTCACTTCAGAGACACTTACTGAATATCCTAAGAATGTTTAAGGACACAGGGATGAAAAGATCTCACTGCCAAACTATGAGAGGTCTTGGTTAGGCTGGGGATAAAGAAAGGCTCAGGGAAGGCTTGGAGATTTAAACTTCCGTCCTCAGGCATTAGTCTATTAGGGATCCGAAAATGTGCCAATGACAGAATGTTTTCAATTTACTTTGAGTTACTGTGATTAGATTTGTTGCTATAACAAATGAATGAGCACACCCTGATTTTGTTGTTTATTAATTTCCAAGCAAATTAACGTATGCACAGAAAGAGAGAATGCAAGGTCTTCTATTACTCTAGTGTCATTCATCCACACCAAGACACTACAGATATGTAGCTTGCTGGAAAGATGCTGCTAAACTGCTTCTTCATGCCCACTCCCCTTCTTCATTACTCAAAGAATTGCAATTCTATTCAAGGTAACAATGTGCCCAACTTAAAATACTTGCCTTGACTATGCTGTAGGATAGGAGTTGCCTTGGGACACAGTTCTGACCAATGAGATATATGCTAAGCATTTCTGGGAAAACGAACACTCTCCTGATTAAGCATCATCCCTACCTACTTTGCCCATTCCTCTTTCCTGCCTGATATGCGGATACGGGGTCATAGACAGGGCAGCTATCTTGCCCCCTCCATAATATACAAGTCTATCGACTCAGACATAGAGCTTTCTGAAGATAGCTTTCTGGTCATCTACGTTGATCTAGCGATAAAGATGAAAACATTCCCAGGGGTATTTGGTTAACATATAGTGATTCTCAACTGGAGAAGAAATCACGTACTGACCAGGGAAGTTTGGGAATGAGTGGGGATAACTTGATTGTCATGGTGACTAGGGGCTGCTATTATCATTGCATGGGTAGGCAGCAAAACATCATTGTCAAACCCAAGATGGCAACAGTGCTCCTGAGGAAAAACATTGATCGATTCTTGGGGCACATTTCTTCTGTCAACCTACCAGGGAAGTGTCCAGATGTGAGCCAAGGAGGTCACCAGTCCTCTCTAGCATCTCTCCTCTACACCACTCGCCACCTCTTCATTGAAATGACTGCTCTCCCCCTTTGTCCCCTTGAGCCTAGAGGACATGACAGCTCTGACTTGGCTAGCTCCAGATTATCGCTCTGTCCCTTCAGGCTTCTCTCTACCCAAATGGGCCTGTGTACACCCTGCATTTATAAATCAGCGTGCTACCATTTGTGTTGAGATCTTGACTGTTAGAGCTCTTTTTTCCACATTTTATTTGTCTCAAATTCTACTTGTCTGCTTTCCCGGGGAATTTGTAATTCTAGATGTAGTTCTCTAAGTTACAGGAGGCTGTTGAATACAGTTATCTTTTATTTTCCCCCCTCTTTTGATACTAGCCTTTCAGGGAACAAACTTGCCATTTACTTTTATAATTTAAGCAACCTGAGTAATATTGTCTTGGCAGAGTAGCTTTTCCCTTCTGCATGAAGATGGCTCCAATAGTGCCCAAAAGAAAGAGATTCAGTTTCTTTTAAGCAATGTATTAAAATATATATCCTGAAGAAATTCCTAAATAAATAAGCAGTTAAGATCCGGACATTCTGTAGTAGAAAGCACGGTAGAGTCAGTTTGAACCTAAAAAAAAGGTCAGTTTTTTTTTTCCTAGTCAACCATGTCAGTCTTAAAAATGTCAGCATAGATGGAAATGAATATAAGAAGAAATAAAGCTTTTCTTTTCTTTGATGACTCAAGATCAGCAGAAACCCAGAGTTCCTATTTTGAACACTTTACAAACCCAACTATAAATGGAGACAGTGACTGAGCAACTGGGCTAATGACGGGCATACTCTCGGCTGCAGCTGTAACGAAGTCTGCCCCCAGAGCAGATCCTTCAAAAGTCACAGATTTGAAAATGAAAGCCAATTACATTGATAAAGTACAGCAAAAAACACCTAATGTCAACCTAACTCCTCAGAAGCAACTTTTTCCAACACAATTCTCTTTCTCTTTTTCTTTCTTGGTGAATACAGACACAGATCCCCCCACCACTCCCCCACACACAATTTAAACATCCCTAAAGTCTTTGAAGGAAGGCATCAGGGCACAAATTCAATAGCCATTGCTTTCTTCTAGGAAATATCTCTCCAGTAGAGCTCTCTTTGGGGGAGGAGAAGGTTTCTCACAACTTTATTATAAATTCTGCTGTGTATGTGCCGGCATGTTTCTGAGTATTTCCTATATCATAACTATGTTAGTGAAAATAGCACATTTAGCTATATTTTTTCCCCTTGTGATTTTACATTCTTTACCTCATTGGAGGTGGAAGGGGTAAAGAACAGGAATCATTTTAAAGCATATTTATTTATGTTCTTCATAGTTAAAGAAAGCTATGGCAACATTTTCCTGGCCCACATATTCAATTAAATACATAGTGAATCTTTTCTACTCACTGAATTAGTTGGCACTTCCGAGTATTTATTTTTGGCATATCATTTCTTTTTTGTTTTTGCAGAAATTCTTAAAGTTTTATCATGATTTAACATTTTTATTTTGAAAGTCAAGCACATTTTAAAATTATGAATATATATATATATATATATCCCCTGAGACTTGAATCTCTGTAACAGTCTTTTTATGTGGTTATTTTCCCATTAATTATTCTCTAAGGATCTTGGACATGTAAAGCTCTGTGAGGTTGATGGGAGAAGGGCAATATCCTCGGATGAGCAGTGCATGTCTCCCTGTCCCTGGGGAGTTTCTAGTCGGGTGGAGGGGCTAATACGTAACAGAAGCTGTTGAATGGATGTTCCCATTGCCAGGAAGAATTGCCTTGGCCATAAGACAACAACAAATAAGGGGTCGCTAAGAGCATCCCTCGTGCTCACCCCATGGGCCAGGTCCTTGGCTTCCTTTATGGCCAAATCAGGATAACATCTTACAGTTCCTCAGTCTCTCTCTTGCCCCTGCCTATCCACTCCCTGGACATACCTGTACACACACACACACACACACACACTCCCCTACCCTACTCTACTACTATGTCTTCTATGGAAGCCCTGCGTATTTCTTACAACTTTGCACTTGACTCCAGTCTTGTTTCTTCCCGCTACTATTCGTCCTCATCCCCACTTCTCTGAGCTATTTATTGCCATCAGTTAACTCCATTTCTTTCTCACTTCCCTTTTCCAATAACACCACAGTCACCTAACGTGACCATCTGAGCCCGATCCCAATTTGCAAATGTCTCTGCCTTGTGTTGAACTCTTTTTATGACATTGCACTCTGTTTTTTTTTTTTTTTTAAATATACTTTACAAAGACTTTCCAGTCTAGCCCCTGCCTCCCTGTCCAGCCACCTCCTTTTTTCCAAAATCACTCACATCACACACTCCAACAATTTTAGGCGTATGCAGAGACTGGAATAGATCACAGTTATGTCTGTACTCATATCTGTCAGCCAGGACCTCCTTCTACAGTCTCTGATCTGTTCCATCCAACTCTCTACCACGTTGCTCCCCTGCTGCTCAAACACAGCCATCTGGGCAGTTGCTTACTTATTCTGCAAGTCTCAGATCAAATGGTGCGTCTTCTGTAATGTCATTCTGGACTCCACTGTAAGGATTTTGAGGTTTTTTTCTATGGT